TTTCTGTATATTCCTGAAAGTCTGTGGTGTTGTCGTGTGTGGCAGCCACTAAACTCTCAGTCTGCCTGCCTCCCTGCTCTTGCTGTTTTGGAATCACGGATCACTACTACTGACTCACCCAGGCCTCCTCCTCTCTCTCATTAATCCACCTGCAATCAAGTAAGACTGTTCAGACAAATCAGATTGGATTTATTCTGTTGTTCCTACAAGAACCAGCCTGACTCTTCCCATCTGTTTCAGTGCCTCTCCGTCCTCGACTCTCGCACCACCACTCCCCTTGCTGTGCCCTGTCTGCCACAGTTCATGTTCTGGGATATTCTAGTTTAAAATCCCCTAAAGCTCATGTACATAGTGTCTCACCCACCTTCATAGTTTGTATATCATAGTATGCCACTGGTTATTCATAGCTTTCCCGTGGTTCATGTTTCATGGTGTGTTGCAGTTATTTACAGTTTACATTCATTGTAGTTTTTGAATATCATTGTGTCTCGCAGTTCCCGTTCACTGTAAAAAAGTCATCTAGCTTGTTAGCGAATAGTTTGTTTCCTCACTTTAGCATTGCGTTAGGTTTAGTTTCAACACTGTTATTCCATTACGTTATTGTAAATAAAAGTTACTGAGTCTCATTTTGAATCTGTTTTGTGCCGTGACACGTGGGGGGGAAAGGAAGTAAAGTAAAGAACAGAAAAGCAGGAAAGTTGATCCTAGTTTGGGTAAAACTGACCTTTTGTTCACAAATATCAAAAGTCAGAAATGTTTGTACTGTGTACAAAATGCTTACTTTTACTTGGTGATTGTACATTTTCACATGTGTTGATGTCACCACAGGGAGAAAAAAACAGTAAACACAGAGAAAAATCACAGAATGAGAGAATGTTTAAAATATCGACTAGTACTGTGTCTTCATTTTCTCATGTTTCTTGTATGCAAGCTCGCATGAATGCACGTCTAAACACTCAGGTACAAACACATCAAAGATAACAATGGCTAGAACTGGATTAGACAAATGTTGCACATTGGCATGAGGCATGCAGCAACTTTGTTCAAACATCTACTGAAGCAAATGATTGCTGAAAATAAACCCCAAAAAGGCCTTGACACACAAAAAGTACATAATGGCAATTATACAAACTTTTTCACATATTCAGATTTTTCAGGAGGTGTGTCTGCTTCCTGGGCGGGTCGTAAAGGTCACACTTTGGCTAATTATTCACAACTGTTTTAACAGACAGTCAAGCATACTGCAATACACAACAGTAGATACAAGAAGCGTGATCCTCGCAGATTACAGGAAGTGTAGATTAATCAGTGACACATACGCCGGTCGTCTGTACATTAACATCTCTGAAATGTGCCTCCTTGCAAATGTTGCATCCTGAAACTGTTGTCACATGGCCAGCCCCTATCCCAGTTTTCCAACAGGACCTTTGTCCACAGATTTACTTCGGAAAGTCCGCAGTTTATGATGATGAATGTGTGTGCATTGATAAAGCAAAAGTGTCTGCAGAGCTGCTTAAAAAATGTTGAATTATTATATGCAACAGGGCAGTTATTGTTTTGAACAAACCCTTAAACTTAATATATTATATTAGTTATTTTTTCATTCTCCCTGAAATGTTTCCACAAAAATGTCAACAGAAAGGAAAAAAGCAGTCAGGAAAAAATGGGAAAGGCTAAAATATAAGACATTTCTTAAAAAAAAAAAAAAAGACAACTTAAAAGTGACATCTTCCTAAATTTACTAAACTTACACAGATTACACAAGTGGGCTCAGCCCAGGCCACACTGAGCACACTCAGCCGTTATCTTGCCAAACTGGCTGTTTCATGCAGGACTTATGGCACTGCTTTGGTGTCTGTTTGCGTAGGTCTTTAGCTGTGCAAAAACAAAAGGTTGAGGCTACAGAGAAATTTATACCATCTCACCTGGCAGGGATGACATTATTTGTAGGTCACAGGCTAAATGTTTAAGAAGTTGGCTTCACTGAGAAAAGAAGCCGGAGTGGAGACTGAGACTGAAGAAATCACATGAATGAGTGACTTAACATCTCTCCCACTGAAAACGCCACGTCCAGATGAACAGAGTGCCAGAGTGGAGTTCACAATAAAGAGGGAAAAGTGTAAAAGAAAATATATCTGTGTTTAAAACTTAATTTTACTCCCCTATACGGAAGTTCTTTGTATATTTTAGTTCTGCTTTCTCAGCTACTAAGGCACAAGATCATATGGAAAACATGTAACACTACATGTGCTGCATGTATAGCACTGTTGTTGACCAATAGTATTAACATAAACAAGAGTAGGCCACAGAATATTGCACACATTTTTCACACTCCCTGCAAAGATATGGGTCTGGAGAGCTCTTAAATCGTTTTAGCATTTAAGAACAATGCCTTAGCATGACCTTAAAGACGAGAAAATGACAGTCACTGTGGTTTGCATATTTCAAGATATTGCTGGAGAGTAAGAATTGTCATCCCTCAGGTGTTGGGACCATAGATGTTCACAAGCTGATTGAAGCGTGACTTTGAGCCAAAGATGAGGACCACTTGCATACACTGTCCTTAAAAAAAGATAAGCAAATGTGTAACTTCTTTAAGTTACTTGAAGACGTTTGTCCTTTAGACAAAGGTCACTCCTTTAGATGCAGATGGACTGCTGAGTCTTGTCCTGTGGAGGTGGCTCTTCTGTGTTGTGCCATGCGCTTGTGAAGTGGCTGTTCGGTCTCTCTGATGTAGAGGTCTGAGCATTCCTCGCTGCACTGTACAGCATACACCACATTGTTAAGTCTGTGTTTTGGCGTTTTGTCTTTCGGGTGAACCAGTTTCTGTCTGAGCGTGTTGCTGGGTCTGAAATGCACCGGGATGTCATGCTTGGAGAAAACTCTCCTGAGTTTCTCTGATACACCGGCTACATAGGGGATGACAATGTTGTTGCGTCTGTCCTTCTTATCCTCCCTCGCTGGTGTCTGATCTTCTTTTCTGTGCCTCTTTGCTGACTTTAAGAACGCCCATTTAGGATAGCCGCACGTTTTGAGTGCTTCCTTTACATGTGTGTGTTCCTTCTTTTTCCCTTCAGGCTTAGAGGGAACATGTTCTGCCCGGTGGTGTAGGGTCCTGATTACTCCAAGTTTGTGTTCCAGCGGGTGATGGAAGTCAAAGAGGAGGTACTGGTCCGTGTGTGTGGGCTTCCGGTAAACTTCGATGTTGAGTTTGCCGTTCTCTTCAATGTGCACGGCGCAGTCCAGGAAAGGCAAACAGTCGTCCTTTGTGTCTTCCCTGGTGAACTTGATGTTTTTATCCACAGCGTTAATGTGCACAGTGAAGGATTCCACTTCTTGTGTCTTGATTTTGACCCAGGTGTCGTCCACACCTGGGTCAGAGGAAGAGGTACTCTTCCTTTGAAAGAGCCAAGAGCCTTCCTTTCCACTTCCTCCATGTAAAGGTTGGCTACAATAGGTGACACGGGGGAGCCCATGGCACAGCCATGTTTTTGTCTGTAGAAACCCTTGTTGTATTTGAAATATGTAGTGGTAAGGCAGAGGTCTAACAGTTTGCAAATCTGATTGGGTGTGAAGTTGGTCCTGTCTTTCAAGGAGCTGTCTTCTTGCAGTCTCCACTGCCTCCATGGTGGGTTTGCAGGTGAAGAGAGAGACTACATCAAAGGACACCATGGTTTCATCTGGATCCAGGGGAAGTTTCTGGACCTTGTCGGTGAAGTTGGTAGAGTTCTTGATATGGTGTGGGGTGTTCCCCACAAGAGGAGCAAGGATGGTAGCAAGGTGTTTAGCAATGTTATAAGTGGCTGAGTTTATGCTACTGACTATGGGTCTGAGTGGGACAGCTTCCTTGTGGATTTTAGGAAGTCCGTAAATGCAGGGTATGGCATCCCCTGGGTAAAGGTGGTGATATGTAAGGCGGTCAATGATTTTGTCCTTTTCAAAGTATTGAAGGCAAACTATAACTTTCTTTTTGTAGCTGCTTGTGGGGTCTAGTTTCAAGGCTTCGTAAGTATTCGTAGGGATTCTCCCACTAGGTTTAAATCTGGGACTCCCCACCATTTGACCTTAGAACTGAAGAAGCTTCTCGGATGAGAGGTGAAACGTCTTCAAGTAACTTAAAGAAGTCCAGACGCTTTTCTTTGCAAGCTCCTTTGACTAAACAGCTTGATATGAATTTTCTTTGCTGCACCCTTCTGTATTTCCTTTTCTGTCTTTACTATTTTTCCAAATGCAGAATGCAAAAGCAGTTTTGAAAAAGCGGAATCCATTTTGTTGGTTGCTTGGTCGGTTGCTCTTTAGGAATTTCCATTTATATTTAACCTTTTTACTTCTAACTCAGTCAGGGAGAAAAGCTTTTTTGGTGACAAAACAATCTGAAACCCTTTACAAGCGAGTGAGAAAAGAAATCATTTTCAGAGCACCTTTTAAAATAAATATCACAAAGTGCTTCACGACATAATGTTAAAAACATAAAAACAAAAAACTGGTTTAAAGGAATGACATCTGAGCTGCTTTTTAAAAGAAATCCTGAATCTGCAGATCTCAGGCTCAGTGGGCGAGAGTTCCCGAGTCTGGTGGCCACTGTTGTAAACACTCCATCTCCTTTAGCTCTCAACCTAGTATGATGCACAGCCAGCAGACCCTGATCACATGACCTCTGCGACCTGCAGTAGTATGCATGTAAAAGTTGACTGATGTATGCTAGAGCTTTTTCATGCAGAACCTTAAAAGTCAACACAAAAATGTATATATGTGTTAAGTGATAACACACAAGGCTTCACCTTTCCATCCCTGCAGTTAGAGTGTTTACATGTTAACAAGCGTTAATACAAACAAAGGGATGTGTGGTGAGATCCAGTATTTGAAAAACCTACAGAGTAAGTGCCACATCAATCATAAGAAAACAATGGGTTCATTTTATGAATATTTTTCTCTATCACTTAAATTATACTCTTTGATATATGTATGAAGCTCATAATTATAATGCCCTCCTTGGAGCAATCTGCTTATAATAATTGCTTTGTCAGCTGTCACTTGATCACACAAAAACATGAAGAGGCTTAAATGACAAAATAAATGTATAGTTTCATACAAGCATGAAAAAAATTCAAACTGGCACGTGCAGAAACGAAACTTTTTCTTTTAATGTTTAGAACAGAAAAAAAAGTCAGAGAAGCAGAGGGACAAACTGCTACACTTTATCCATGACTAAAATGAACCAAAAACAGAACAAAAGCTGGGCTTCAAGGGCTCATCTCCTAGTGATATGGGTGTTTTGTCTTGTACATCAACCTGTCATCCTCATTTACAACATCATAAAAACATAAACGTCTGAGGACAGCATTTAAAATGTGAACCAGTTAGAACACAAAATCATAAACAATGTCTGACTAAAGTTATGTGTCCTGCCAAGTACAGTTCATTGACATGTCGTCCTAGATGCAAAAGAAAAACAAAATTTAAAAAAAGGATTGATAAAGATTGATACAATTCTCTTGTAAATATTAACATATTTGCCAAAAGTAACAAAGACTATGCTGCTTTTCAAAATATAAATACCTTTTTCATTGTGGGCAAAATATAAATCCTTCATTTAGTTCAATGATTCCCTCCCAGCTATATCACTGACTATGTTATCTATTTTTTTCTGTTCAAGGTATGAAGAGCCCAATCAATAGTTGAAGTCATTTTGACAAAAACCTTTAAATGTTAACCAGCTCAACTTTAAACATTGCATAGATGCCAGCGGTGTGATTGATGAGTTTGTTTTATAAGGCCAAATGGTTCAAGGCTAAATGGCCAGAATTCTTTATATTTAAGTGGCCGTACTGACAGACATACACAGATCATGTGTACAGACTCAAATTTTTAGGGTTTGACATCCCCCCCAGATGACTTTTCAATATCTCTAACAAAAATAAAACCTTTCTATGTTGTTTTTTGATTTTTCAAACATGGCATGTGTAACAAAGTTACCTTATATGTAAACAGGCAGCTGGGATACATAAGATTAGCTGGTGACATTTAGATCACGAGGGTGTTGCCTGTTTTTACTAGTCTGCCAGGTTCAAAGAAACATATCAGACACCGTAAGAAATATCTGGCATGGATTTTCTGCTGACAATGAAAATGATGTTATTTTATCTCTTTACTGAAGCTCAACAGCAATAAAGATAATAGATAAACAATAAAGATAGTAAACATATTTAAATGTACAATGACAATAAAAGGTTATTCTATTCTAGAAAGTGTTTATAGATGATTTAGAAGCAGATTATGAGAGAATGGTTCAGAATAGAATAGAATAGAAATATCCCTTATTGTCCCTCACTGAGGAAATACACTTTACAGAAGAAAACTAAAATGAAAATAAAATTGAGTAAGTGTTTAAAAATACCTCTGTATTAATGCACATTCGTTACATTATACAACACATGTTCTGTTTTTCAGTTGCAGTTTTCTGCAGTTTCTGCAATTCATCCTTTTAAGTTACTTTTAGCAAATTATTTGCCATAGGCCAACACACATGTATGTTCACACAGACACACATTACATCAGGTGTGTGCAAGTGTGCAGTCAGGGACATGCGGGGAGGTGGATCTTCTCTTACCAGGATGGAAAAGGAACAGTCACTCCCACAGACGCATTATTACAGAACACTGAGGGGGGTTCGTTCTCTTCACACAGTGGTGACACCTGTAACTGTCCGTACCACTCAAGAGGACCCTCAAAACAAACCCAACTTTACAGAGGTCTCGGACATTTGCTCAAGTAGACAAGGACATGGAGGAGAAGGACTTGCAATCCGTTGAGTATTTTGTGAAGAGGGAGGTTCTGGATGAGTTATGCCTGGATGAAGTGGCTCAAAAAGAGACCTGGTCCACTAAACTGACACTGGGTGATCAGGTGAAAGAGCCCCTGAGGTAATTTTTTTAAAAAGACATGGGAAGTTATCGCAAAGACAAAGGGTTAGGGTTAGAACTTCTCAACATTTAAAAGATATTAATGAAGTGAGCTAAAGAGCTGAGAATGAGTTTGCATGTTTAGATAGAGGTTTGACTTGTCTGGTTGGTTAACTGTTTTGTTATCTCAAAGCAAAGTTCATCATTTTTGAAAATTTTCCCTGGTTAACCTTTAAAACAACTTGTGATACAGCACATCATATCTGACCATAAAAGTGATACTGATGAATCACAAAAGCAATTATTGACAGTTCAATTACATGAATTCATAACTGTTAACACGTCAACATGGCAGAGGAGGTCGAGACTTACTTTATTACCTTACATATTTCTTTGGGACAAAGAAGGCAAATATTCATGCAGGAGAAAGGCAATTAATTATTTTATTTATTTATTTTTGTTAAATACTTAGTTATTACTCCATGGAAGCTTATCACATTTCTACCCTAAGCCACAGTGACTTAATCTTTTACAGCCCCAGCTGATAAAAGATGTAACAGGTGGTACAGTTCACAAGTTACATTGTCAGTCTTTTTGTATATATCCCTCTTCAGCAGACTAATAGATATAAAAAGGTACATAGATATTCTTTATTTATTTAAGCTTAAAACTACAAACTACAAAGTCGATATCAGCACTTAAATTGTGTCTTTCTGGAATGACTGTTGCAGATGTTCGGTGCCCAGGCTGAAACACATACTTCTAACCTGGGTCCCTGTTCTCAGCTGGTTGCCTCGTTACTCCATCAGAGAAAATGCCTTAGGAGACCTGATTTCTGGCTGCAGTGTCGGCATCATGCATCTGCCGCAGGGTTTGTATGTGGGAATTTGTGCACTTGAGGGAGCTCACTCTTTAGCCACACAAATTCAGTACAAATGTTTGTAATAGAAGCAGCTACCTTAATTTTATCCAAATCTGAAGACAATAATTAGGACACAGGCTGATATCAATTCTCCCACCCCACTCTAATCAGTAAACAGAAAAAGGATGTTTCTATCAATCTTTTAAGCAACCAAAATGTGTCTGAAGGACTTTAAGCTGACACATATGCGCTCTATCTTCTTTAAAAAGGCATGGCATATGCTCTTCTGGCTTCCCTGCGACCAGTGTATGGCCTTTACACCTCCCTCTTCCCAGTGCTGGTCTACTTCATCTTCGGTACATCGAGACACATTTCTATAGGTAAGTGATGTGGAAAATGTCTGTTTTCCTAATTCAAAAAAGCTTTAACATCATTGCTAATCTGTCTTGATGCATTCTCAATCATCCAGGTAAGTAAATCTCCAAAAATTGATTCTGTTCATCTGGACGTAGCGTTTTCAGTGGGAGAAACTGTCATGGATAGTGAGGCAGACTCAGGCGCAGACCACAGTTTGATTTGTGAAACATGGAAGACATCATGGATTTTCATATTGTGAGGGAGCTTCAGCTTCACAGAGACAGGGTTGACTAGGGCAGAGATCTCAAAAGGACCGATGAAATTGGGTGTAAGTTTTTTGAATTCGGTCCTGACGGGAACAAAGCGGGTAGAGAGCCACACCTTCTGACTGGCAGAGTATTCGGGTGCTGGGGTCCGGTGCCGGTCTGCGATGCGTTTGTTGTTCTCCTTTGTGCGTAGTGGCCCGCCAAACCCGTCGACACCTGCGTAGATGAGCCTGGACGGAGGGTACAGAATGCTCACCTTCCACAGCAGGAAATAGGGAAGGCTGATATCCCAAGGAAGCTTCGAATGGGACACCTACTGTACCTCTGTGCCAAGTTTCATCCAGATTTACTGTAAAATTCCTCAGAAATTAAATGACATTTATATTCAATTCAATACAGCCAATACACTACAATTATGCCAATTTCCTAAATTCATTAAAAATCATCCTGAATAGTTGATGTCCAGCTTTCAACACATCCCTCCTCTGGGACACCTACTGTACCTCTGTGCCAAGTTTCATACAGATTTACTGTAAAATCTGTATGAACTAACTAACCCTAACCTGCAGTCAGCTGAGACTGAAGAAGTCACTCGGATGAGTGTCGAAACGTTTCTCCCACTGAAAACGTCCAGATGAACAGAATCAACCTTTTGGAGCATTGCTAATCTGATTCTTCCATGTCCCTATGAATATCTGTGTGTCCACATGGCTGTATTTTGTATGCTCAGGTACATTTGCTGTGATCAGCATCATGGTCGGGAGTGTGACAGAAAGGCTGGCACCTGACAGTAACTTTATTGTGAATGGCACTAATGGGACGGAAACTGTGGACATCGATAAACGCGATGCTTACAGAGTACAGGTGGCATGTTCCCTCACAGTCTTGACAGGAATCTTTCAGGTGTGTGTCTATTTTGTGTGTCAGACGTACAGCTTTTAGTGAAGTGATGAGCAAACCTTTCAGGGCATATTTCACCTCCTTTCTTTCACTGACTTTGTCATTTTACATCCTAAGATTCTGTTGGGTGTGGTGAGGTTTGGCTTCGTGGTCACCTACCTCTCTGAGCCCCTCATTCGTGGCTACACCACAGGATCGGCATGCCACGTGTGTGTCTCCCAGCTCAAGTACCTGTTTGGAATCACACCGTCTCGCTTCACTGGCCCCCTCTCCCTCATTTATGTGAGTGTGTTAATCATTATCTATCCAATTCACACTTAAGTACACTAACATTTTAAATTGCTGTCACTATTTATTTACTTTTTGTGCTACTTTGACCTTTACGATTAAACATTTAAAAAATTAGTTTTGCAAAGTTAAAAATTTATATCATTAACTTTTATTTAATGACTGCACTGGACTAATTACAACAGTTTTATGATGCCTGCACCTACATAAATGGATGAGTTATTCCTATCACCTTTGTAAATAAATACAAAGTTTGTGTGTTTGTGTCCTTGAGTGCAACAAAGTGCATGATATAAAATACTATAAGAACATGGCTTTTAGAGTAAAAGTTTTGCTTGGCCAGTAATGCCAGAAAAGAGCTTCATGAAATATACCAGTCCAATTACAGTCACCAGTATGGTTCCAGTAGCTGAAGCTAATCTCACTGGAGCTATGCAGGGAATTACAGGAGCTTACATGCTAGATGTTATTACACACATATCAGATTAGATGAAGTTGTAATTTTACCTGCTGTAATGAGACAATATTGAACTTGGAAACACACTTTGAAGAAGTCAGATCAAGCAGTTTAAGAGAATACACATATGCCTCCAGTAACACTGTGAGAAACCTTGGAGTCATTTTTGACCAGGACATGTACTTCAACCCACATATTAAACAAATATGTAAGACTGCGTTCTTCCATTTGCGCACATCTCTAAAATTAGAAATATCTTGTCTCAGAGTGACGCTGAAAAACTAGTTCATGCATTTATTACTTCCAGGCTGGACGACTGTAATTCATTATTATCAGGATGTCCAAAAAACTCACTGAAAAGCCTTCAGCTAATCCAAAATGCTGCAGCAAGAGTCCTGACAGGGACTAGAAAGAGAGAGCATATTTCTCCTGTTTTGGCTTCCCTTCATTGGCTTCCTGTTGAATCCAGAATTCAAAATCCTGCTCCTCACATACAAGGTCTTAAATAATCAGGCCCCATCTTATCTTAATGACCTTGTAGTACCATATCACCCTATTAGAGCACTTTGCTCTCGCTCTGCAGGCCTACTTGTTGTTCCTAGAGTATTTAAAGGTAGAATGGGAGGCAGAGCCTTCAGTTTTCAGGCCCCTCTTCTGTGGAACCAGCTTCCAGTTTGGATTCAGGAGACAGACACTATCTCTACTTTCAAGATTAGGCTTAAAACTTTCCTTTTTGCTAAAGCATATAGTTAGGGCTGGACCAGGTGACCCTGAATCCTCCCTTAGTTATGCTGCAATAGACGTAGGCTGCCGGGGGATTCCCATGATGCATTGAGTTTTTCCTTTCCAGTCACCTTTCTCACTCACTATGTGTTAACAGACCTCTCTGCATTGAATCATATCTGTTATTAACCTCTGTCTCTCTTCCACAGCATGTCTTTTATCCTGTCTTCCTTCTCTCACCCCAACCGGTCGCAGCAGATGGCCGCCCCTCCCTGAGCCTGGTTCTGCCGGAGGTTTCTTCCTGTTAAAAGGGAGTTTTTTCCTTCCCACTGTCGCCAAAGTGCTTGCTCATAGGGGGTCATATGATTGTTGGGTTTTTCTCTGTATCTATGAAGCGCCTTGAGGCGACTTTTGTTGTGATTTGGTGCTATATGAATAAAATTGAATTGAATTAGACAGGCACAAGTTTGCTTTAAATTAACTTGCTTCAGACACAAACACACAAAGATGGCTGGGTTTAAGTGGAAGCTGCATTTTGATGACATGTATTCCTTACTGCTGGAGATTTCTGCTGACTTTAAGTACTAGCCGAATTTCCAGTCCTCTTTGTTTGTATTGCCTTACTTGTTTGTTTTTCTTCTTTTCACAGACTGTGTTGGACATTTGCAGCCTGCTGCCGCAGACTCAGGTGCCAGAGCTGGTGGTCAGCCTGGTGGCACTCGCTGTTCTCATTGTGGTCAAAGAAATCAATGACTGCTACCGACAGAAGCTGCCGTTGCCTATTCCAATAGAGCTCGTAGTTGTAAGTCTTCCTTTTAGTTTTTCTTTCATCCTTTCTCTGCAAGTAAAACAGCAGGTGTATTGATTTATGCACCCAGCAGGGAGCGTCTTGACCCCAATGATCACACTAGACCCAGGGAACGCTATAGTTGCCCACGAAAGGGGCTGTTTGCAAGAAAGAAATATAAAAAGAACTAATGATACTGGAGTGACATTGTTTTTTTTTAATCAACAGGTCATAGCAGCAACAATCATTACACATTTCTGTGAACTTCCTAGTAAATACAACATTGACGTGGTTGGAGAAATTCCCAGTGGGTAAGCTCATCTTTGGGCGGAAATAAAGTGCTGGAGTAAACCCAGGGCACAAAATTTCCTCCCTTTTCATTTCTGCCAGAAATCCAGAATTTGTTGATAAGACTGTCACACAATCTGCAAAGAAGTGTGTGTGTAACAGCGTGTCTCCTGAAGGCTCCTGTTATGGAAAAATCCAGGTTTCCCCACGGAAGCAATAAAACAGCGTGGGGTAAACACTAGCCATAATAGGAGATTAATGTCATACATGTATACAACAGCTACTGGCCTTTAAAGAGGGATTCATAAAATTTAATTTGACGTGTTTCTAAATTATTAAACAGATTCATGTGTGTGTCGCTGATAAAACAGCTCACGTTTTTCTTCTGCTCCAGGCTCAAGGCCCCTCGTGCTCCAGATACCACTTTCTTCTCAGGCGTTATAGGAGATGCTTTTGCTGTGGCCATTGTGGGCTTTGCCATCAACATTTCTCTGAGCAAAACATTTGGCCTCAAATATGGCTACAAGGTGGACAGCAACCAGGTGAGGAAAGCATACACGCACAGTGGCCTGCACAAACAGTACAAGCAGTCCTCTGACTCTCTCGTAACAAGGAGGAGTACAACTTTGGCCTAAAATTAGACTTTACTCTGTAGTCTGCTATTCCTGCCACATTAGTGGAAACAATTACTCAGGTTGTCACTGATCAAGCTTTGGCCCAGCTGCATAGGCTTCTGTTCATTTTGCTTCAGGTGCTTAGTTAATTGAAATAAATTTACTTCAGCTAATGCTTTAGAAAAGTAGTGTCAAACATAAGGCCCCGGGGCCAGATTCAGTCTGTCAAAGACTCCAATTTGACCCGCTGGACAGCTTTACCAAATATAATGCAGGGCATAAATTTTAAAATGTAAATGTCTTTTAAATGTATTTTTTTAAACAACTTCGCTATGGCTATTCATACTACATCAAAGTAATTAATAAACAAATAACCAATTAAATAAAGGAAAAGTTCCTGCAATTTCTGTATCTGCTACACTGGCAGAAAGGGGAGTTTTATTAGCCTTGGCCCATTTAGGATCAAACTGTGCTTGATTTGGCCCCAGATGTCAAAAGATTTTTGACATCCCTGCATTAGAATAAATAACCAAAGCATTATAATCTTACATCTTATGTTTAGATTGTAGCCTCAGACAGTGTGAGCTGCAACAAAAATACTTGTCTACATTGTTTCATTAACTCTTATTGTTTTTTCTAAAGCTTCAAAGAGAGAGATTACGCTATTGATGCAGTGCATTTTTATTTATTCACTTAGTTCTAACTAGTAGTGCAATTTTGGGAAATGGCTTTCTCTTATTTCTTCAGTACCCTCCAGAGTTATTTAAAGTGTCACAGGTGTCTGAATTACCCAAATAATAATAACAGACTATAATTGAATCAGTCAGTTACATGATTCAATGTTAAAATAAAAAGATACATTGTGTGAAACAAGAAGAAATTAAATGAGTTACAAGCAGTACAGAAGCATCACTTTCGATTTTTTGCTGGTTCTTTGTAACCTGATTAATAATTCCCCATGCAAACTCATGTCCTGGAACTGAACTGCACTGTTTATAATTTGCTGGTAAATCAGGTTTTGTAATCAGTTCATTAGAGAAATGATTAATGTTTGGTTAAATTAGATGCATGCAAAAAAAAAAGAACCTGGATGTTTTGTTTTTTAAATGCCAAAACAAACATAGAGGTGTATTAAAAACAGTGTTGGGCAAGTTACTTTTAAAAAGTAACGATTTGTAGTTACTAGTTGCTTCTTCAAAAAAGTAACTGAGTTAGTAACTGAGTTACAATATTCTAAAAGTAATTAATTACTTGAAAAGTAACTATTGCGTTACTTTAAAAAAATGTTTAACCTTCTGGGGTTCAGGGTATAATTGGCCATTTTAACTACTTTTGATGTTTCCTCCACATTTCACCTTTAACAACTGTTTACTTTGCCTTGTTTGGTATCATTCTTTTCAGCACAACCTCACGTGTCTGAATTTACAGTTATGTTTTCATTTTTTACATACTGTATGAACACAATTGATCTAAAATCGGACAAAAAAACATAAAATCAGAGTAGAAAAAGTTATATTTTTTACTGTAACAACCACAAACATGTTTAACCCTTGTGTTGTCCTTGGGTCATTTTTGTTCTCTAAAGAAATCTTTTGCTATCAAAAATGTGTTTTTTATTCATCAAATGGTCTGAAAATAACAGAAGCTATTCATTACTATGCTATGCATGATCGGAATAAGTTTTATGTAATTTGATTTATTTATGGGGTTTTGCAAAGTGTTGCAAAGGGCCATATTTTCACACCATACTGCTTTCAAACATCTTTGATCTTGGATCACTGATGTGTGGGGTCAAGCAATGGTCATAACAACCACAACAACAACAGGCAGCACAATGAGGAGAAAGGTGTTCTATATTCAATTAAATTTTATTTACACAGCACCAAATCACAACAACAGTCGCATCAAGGTGCTTCATATTGTAAGGTAGACCCTACAATAATACATACACAGAAAGTATGCTCACAGGCCTCCATTGCACTGGAGGCTTGTGAGCATACCTTTTTTTACCATGTTGTGCAAAGTAATGAGCAGTAGAACAAAGCACATTGTCCTCTAGTATAATGAGGAGGAAGAATCAATGATCAGGAAGATCGAGGGTTAGAAGATAAAGAAAATATTGTCAATATTTAGAGCACATGCTACCCTTTCTCTGAAAAAGCACATCACCCACCTGCAGAAGTGGAAGAAGGCTATGTGAAGAAAAGTGATGAAGAATCTGAACTATGTTCAAGTAGGTTCTCAGGCATCCAGGACATGGTAGTCTGAGGAGCTTGGAAAGAAAGTGACTGGGCTTCTTGAAGTTTCTTGAATTTTCAGAATGTGAAACTGAAATAGAAGATGTGAAAATAGAACATCATCCATTTCAATTATGATGAAGACAAAGAATCAAGCAAGAAAGAGGAGTCAGCTGAGACAGAGGAATATTTGCAGTAATGTGAGGAAACAGAGGTGAAGGGAGCCACCAGGCTGAAGAAGGAGTCCTATCGGGCTTGGTTAGCCTGTGGGACTCCGGAGGCAGCCGACAGGTATCGACAGGCCAAGCGGAATGCGGCTCGGGCAGTGGCTGAAGCAAAAACTCGGGTGTGGGAGGAGTTTGGAGAGGCCATGGAAAAAGACTTTCGGACTGCCTCGAAGAGATTCTGGCAAACCGTCAGGCGTCTCAGGAGGGGAAAGCGGTGCTCTACCTGCACTGTGTATAGTGCTGGCGGAGCGCTGCTGACGTCGACTGAGAAAATTGTCAGGCGGTGGAAGGAATACTTCGAGGACCTCCTTAATCCCACTGACACGTCTTCCGAGGAGGAAGCAGAGTCTGGGGATGAGGGGAATGACCCGCCAATTTCCGGGGGCGAGGTCACTGAGGCAGTTAAACAACTCCTTGGTGGCAGAGCCCCTGGTGTTGATGAGGTCCGCCCCGAGTTCCTGAAGGCTCTGGACGTTGTAGGGCTGTCCTGGTTGACACGCCTCTGCAATGTTGCGTGGAGATCAGGGGCAGTACCTGTGGACTGGCAGACCGGGGTGGTGGTCCCCATCTTTAAGAAGGGGGACCGGAGGGTGTGTTCCAACTACAGGGGGATCACACTCCTCAGCCTCCCTGGGAAAGTCTATGCCAGGGTGCTGGAAAGGAGAGTTCGTCCGCTAGTCGAACCTCGGATACAGGAGGAACAATGCGGTTTTCGTCCTGGTCGCGGAACACTGGACCAGCTCTTTATCCTCTCCAGGATACTTGAGGGTGCATGGGAGTTTGCCCAACCAGTCTACATGTGTTTTGTGGACTTGGAGAAGGCATTCGACCGTGTCCCTCGGGGTGTCCTGTGGGAGGTGTTGCGGGAATATGGGGTGTCTGGCCCATTGCTACGGGCCATTCGATCCCTATACAACCGTTGCAAGAGCTTGGTTCGCATTGCCGGCAATAAGTCGGACTCGTTCCCGGTGGGTCTTAAGTAGAGATGGACCGATCCGATATTACATATCGGTATCGGTCCGATACTGACCTAAATTACTGGATCGGATATCGGAGAAAAATAAAAAATTTAATCCGATCCATTAAATATCACGAAAGCACCTCACAAAACTTGCAACACGCCGTAACTCGCCTCAGAACGTTAGCACGTCGGAGCAGTATGCATCACGTGATAGAGCGGCTGTGGCATGCGGGACCTGTCGGTGGTCTGGATAGCATGTGGAGCTTTGCTAGCAACCCGGCATTTCATCTCCGACAAAGTTATCTAAAGCAAGTGTGTAAGTCCATCTCTGAATGTAAAGCATTCCTGCGTTAAGCTTAACAAATGTATCTGCCCTTTTATAGAGGGGAGGGCGTCTAGCAATGTCGTTGAAGATTTCCTAGTCTATTTCTGATGTTTGTAAAGCTATTTATCTCTTGCCGTTACAGATTAACAATTAACGCCCGTGTTCACTACTATCATCTGGACCACTGTCTTCTTGAGCGTGGCGACGTGGCGAATCCTATGCCCGTGCCATCAACTCCCCTACAGTGATCAGGCGATACTGTATCGGTGACATCGGTATGCATTATCTCTCTCTGGTGAATATTGGCGTCGCATTGTCGTCTCTAGATTCTCGACTTTTGAGGGTCAGCCAACTTACATAGCGACGTGTATAAGACACAGTGGAGAAACTTCAACGTGTCACAACGCGGACTAAAGCTCTGCTATGCGAGGCATACACAGCACGCCTTTCTAAAGACATGGCATCCGACTGTGCTTACGTAAGTTGCGCTATTTAAGTATATTTCTTTGTCCACCTCTGTGCGAGTGCTACGCATATTATTCCTACGTAGTCTTGTGACGCTCTGAGTTGTTAAACGTGCAGATAGAGACTATTGATATCTGCGATCTTTTAGCACATAGGTGACGCTAAGGTTGTGTTGTATGTTTGCTTTGTGTTGTTTGCTGTCTCCTCTGTTTGTTGTTTTTTGTTTGTTTTTTTTTCTCCATACAGGTGACCCAGGAGTTTTTTCTTTTTTCTTTTTTTTTAAAAGGGAAATGGGCACAAAGAGTCGATACTTTTCTTTTCTTTTTATCTTTTCATATTTTTATGTGTTTCATTGCCTCGCACCCACCATCCCATTACTTCTTACCATCCCAAGTCTTTAGTCTTCTTCTTCATCGTATATATGTGTTTTCTTTCTTTCTTGTCCCCCTAACTTTCATACGTTCCTAGTCTTACTCTCGCCCTGTGTACCGTGACTATTTTTCGTGTTCAAAAAAAAAGAAAAATATACTAGTAAGCCAATGTATAGATAAAACTGTGTTTCCTATTGGAAATGAAGCGGTTACCACATCTGGGCCATCGATCCGTTGCAAATTTAATGTATTCAAGAGAGGACTGTACTGCTGATTCTAGTTAATTTCGATTATGTAACATAATTTATATATATAAAGATACATTTATTATAAACAACACTAGCATCAAATTAAAGGAAAAAAAATTTGCGTATTAACGGACTTCAAAATTATTGAACACAACAT